TAATGCGATGTATCTATATGCATATTATACCTATTGTCATTGATATATAGCTTTTTAATTTCAATATTTCAATATAATGTTGGAAGAAGTGATTAACAATTGTAGTTTTATACATAAATATTTAATGTATAGGAAGTAGGCACTTTACCTGTTGTATTTTAAAGTCGTCTTTTAATGTTGTCTTCTGTTCGCGTATATCTACGGAAACGATATGTGTATAAAATACCCATGTAATTACCACGTTCGAGACTTATTGGATCGTTAATCAGTTTCTATATCCCATATCTATATATATAAAACACTATGATTTATATGTAATGGCAACATATACCGTTTACGACCTATTTGACTGCAATTGTTTGAAATGTGTTAGTCGAAGCAGTGAAACAAATGTATGGTTGCCATGTAATCTTATTAGAAAATCTGGGACAGGTAGAAAAAATAGTAAATTAAATTAGTTAGGAAATGCTTTTGAACCACATTATATAATACCTATTTAAAATCTAACAAATCATTCAATATAAATTTTATATGTTATTATAACAAAGCAACAATGATTTTTGTTAATTCATTTATATAGGTAACAGTGGTTCATAATGTATAGTCTGTGACACTCATAATATAAGTGACCATGACTCTATTATATATTTCGTGCACGAGACACTGCAGATTTAAAACAGTTCAAACATAAAGCTATTCTGTATTGAGACTGAAGTATCGAAATTTATTGCAGAAATGCAACATTAATTATTTATTTTTTTTTTAATTTTACATTTGAATAGTATTATAAAAGATAATTTGAATAGTTTGTAATGAAAAAACCTTTGTATAAATTGTTAAGAAATGTGCAAATGTTATTAAAGTACATAAAAGTTAAACTTATTAAATAAATACCTATGCTCAATGACTGGAGTATCCATCATGGCTAAAAAAAGTATTTTTACAAAGATACGCGTGAAACAAAGGGTTAAGAATCGTTGATTTATGGTAATCATAGAACATGATTATACACATTTTGAAAAAAAAAGTCGATCAATGAAACGTGAGTCGACACTATTAATATAAAATGCTTGCATATAATTACTAGTAAATTATATTTAAAAAATAATTAAAATTAATTCATATTAGTTTATAATTTTAAATTCATATTATCATGTTTAAAAATATTTAAGCATTCATAATATATTGAGAAATTGTTGAGTTTTGTTTTATCATTAAAAAAATTGTTATTTATGTTGTAAAGCATTGCTTTTTTGCAAGCTTGAATATCTGCATTAATTATGATGTTGCACAATTGGGTTTGAAGATTAAATTGCACATTCTACTCTAGGTGTCTCTACATCACGATTTACTTTCAGAACATCATTAATAAATTGTCTTTTAGTGTAGGTCGGTTTGTCGAAAAATATCTATCCAAATTTTATCATCAGAAATATATTTTCTTGTTTTTTGTATAGTTTTAATAAAGTAATCATTAATACAACATTTTCTTAAAGTTGTTTAGTATGGTATCTTTTTTTCTGTGTAAAATTCGAAAAAAATCTGAAACACTTGGTTCAATAGCTTATTTAGTGGAATATTGGCTGATAAAAATGATTTACATAAGTCCAAATTGAAAGTAGACTTTTAATTTGTATTTGTTAAGCCTTTGTCTTAAATATTTCCCTCCGTTTAATCATTTTACCTGTTCTTTTGTTTTATATATTGTGTTACACTAGATCACTGTTAATACTATCTACTTAAAGTTCACATAATTTACAAAAAAAATTCTATTATTTGCGGAAAATATTATCTTTCAATTCCGAAATGAAACTTCTTAATCAACTACCTAATTTGTGATTTTTTATCTTTCCTTTTCTGGTTATCGATGTCACTTATTCAGTTATATCGCAGACGAAATCACTATATTGATAAAACAAATTTAAAACGAATAAGGTACATAAGGTACCTACATTTGTTTTCCAAATAACTTTTTCATTTTATAACGTATCAAAAATGAAAATTTTACATTTTTTCAAAAGTTTTATTTTTCTTATTAAATAAATTTAAAAAAATATATAGAATATATAATAGAAACGAATAAATCTTTCTAATATACGTTTTATGAAGAAAATTAACCTAAAATATACGATAAAAATAATTGAAATTTCTTGAAAATCATTTTATTGAAAAACAAACATGAGTGTATCAAATCCAATATCTTCTACCTATTTCTCGAACAAATATGCAAATTCTTCAAGTCCCACGTCCAGATTACTATGATTTTTTTTATTTCTTAAGCATTAACTAATAAGAACTAATATAAAAGTTCAACATTACATTGATTTACTAACATCTAAAGTAGTAAATACATAATTTATATGTATGTAGCAAATTGCTTCTACAACAAATAAAAACCTTTGAAGCAGCAAAAAATTAACAAATGTAACACTGTCAATACATCTTTGTCATTTCACATGATTATATTAATAAGCTGAAATTTTAACAGACGTACCTAGCAACTAAAATACAACACAATCTCTACAGCGAGTTCTCTATCGCGACTAATCATCTGACATACTCCCTGTGCCTGGTCTAAGGTAAGCATAAGTCGCTTAATTTGAGTGTCTAAACTATTGCTAGTCTAGCTCCATGCTAGAGGTAAATGTTGCACCATACATCTCCGAAATTATTGGACCAGCTAAACCTGACTCACTATTTGATTTAACCGCAATTACTGCTCACCAGTTAATGATACTCAAAATTCCTCTATACTGACTCTACTGCTCGAAATTACATCTACTGACACTACCACAGCTTTCGCCACAATATCAGACTACTCGGGAATCGTTTAATAATGTATGATAGCCACAAAAAGATCATTCCTACTAACACCAAAAATACTTTGCCTGGCCGAAATTAACGCTATATGTTCTCATGTAGGTAGGTGCTTAATAACTAATAAATAAAAGCGGTAGCATAAATACCGGGCAAGAGTTTTCCGTTATTTTGGTACAGCTTATTGATTACCTATGGTATAAGGTCGCATATATCCAGCCTATACCAACACTTTTGAACTTGCACAGGAATGTCAGCATGTCGCTGTATAATGCGTGGTTAGAGCGCATTTAGCAAATGGAATAAATGATTATACGAAGCAGATGAAATATTGAAATATATGATTATATTAGTATTTAAATGTTATTATTATCGTCATCGTATTTTTACAGTAGATATATAATATATATATGTATACGAAAGATCAAAATGACAACGTAATAATAATGTTAAACTTTATAATGATAATTACACGTGTGTACCTATATAATTACTATATTATATATAATGTAATTAAGTATGAATATATCTATGAAAAATTTATGTAGGTAAATGTAAACATAATTTGATTCTACGGAACATTGTATAGGTACACCTAAACACAAATACATATAGAAGTCGAGTACATATATATATATATATGGTATACATGTGTACACTGTATACATATACAATATAATAATAATATATAAGTACATTTAGCATAATGATATAATATATAATATAATAATACATAAATAGTTATTAATGACTAGAAATACAATTAAAAATAAAAATTTGTAATCGTAAAATTCTTAAAAAATAAATCTAAATATTTCAGTCTACGTTACTTCTAAAATATACATGTCTTACATGCTATATAGAGCCATAAAACTAGACGCGCGGGTTTAAAACGTACATTATATCTATTATACCTACCATGACCGTGTAACACGTATCTAAATTGTAATATTATATAAAACTAAACATAATAATTCACACTGTCTATTTTCGACTGTCGCCCTACACGTCGTAGATATCACGATGAGACGCCGTATGATTACGAAAATGAAATACTATTGCCTCGAGCTTATTGATCCTATATAACAATACCTATCTTGATCTTATATCATGTACGTCTACGCTATGTCAACGTGTCCACATTTTGAACTGACCGATAAGGACAACGCTTTTTCGTTCTACAGATTATAGGAATTCATTTGTTCAAACCAACCCCTTACCGGCGTGAAATCGATATTTTAAATACGCTACACTATGGCTATAAAAGTTAATCGTTCATAAACATTATAAAAAATAGGAATGGCAATAGGTTCTTATATACTGGTCTGATATGCGCTGTTTGTACAGAAATATTTTATTGCGATTAAACTCGCGGTGATGTGGTGATCGAGGGGGATCGGATTGCAAGAAAAATAAATTAAATATTGTTTTTTTAAAACAAAAGTCACCGATTATAACCATCGCTGTTCCACGATTATCGTGTAATCAAGTATAAATAACGTATTTACAACCAATATTATTAATGATTTCATTTTTTTAATATTCTCGAAGAAATTGATGAAAAAATTATTTTGATACAGATCAAAATACCTACGCATAACACTCTTTGTTGGATCTATGACTATCGCCCGGCAACATAACACACTGTACTGTGTTTTCAAAGTACATGTATATTTAGAATTTTGACGGTCGAAAACGCAGCATGGTATTTACATTTTTTCGTACATATTATTATCATATAATACGCACGCCTAAGGTTTATTGCCTCGCAAACGAAACGCGATTGTTCTATGTACAGAATAAACTGTAGTGAGTAGACTAAACATATAACAGCCTTACAGGTGTACATATAACAGTGGATAGAGCATCGACCGACCGATCGACAATACGAATCGCATAGCTATATCGTTCGTGTAAGTCCGCACTAATAATAACTATATCAAAGACCTACGGAAAGACTGTTATTTTAAAGATACTTATAATCTATAACATTATGCATTATTTACACGACACGTACTACGGTTTTAATATATATATATATATAATATGTACATACGTACGAAGTGTACGAACCGGAGGACGGGTCGTATAATTAAAATTTTCGTATAATTTTAACACGTTATCCAGCTATACATTTTATGTGCATGGAAATGAAAAACAACGTCTTAACAAAATAAAAAAAAAAAAAAACCACATCAACTATATATTAAAAATAGTATATCTAACATAATATAGCACGTATATTATAACATAAAATATGCGCAGAGGTAGGCTGCGGGAGAGGAGACGTGAGATTTTTCGGAAGATGAAACGAAAGATATTATAAGAAATTGAAGAAACGGAAAAAACCAACGTATATACACTTGTGGGGAGGTACGGCCGTGCAGGCGGTGGTGATGGTAGGAATGAAGAAGAGTGATGGAGAACATGTAATTTGTACTGTATACAGCGTGCGCAGTACCGTCGGAAGGAACTCTGGTTAAACCGCGTACAAAGATTTTAGAGGAAAAACAATTTCCAGCGGAATAACACTCTGTATACAACCTACTGGTAAATTAAGAACAGCTACGACGATGGTACCAGCTGATATTACGAGGACGCGACCGTCAGATGGTCGTCCATTTCTTCGTCGGACATGGCGACCGTGGTGTGGTTGTACAGCCCCTGCGCCATCAGCTGCAGCGCCAGCGGGTTCTTAGAGCCACTGGACTTCTTAATCTTGGCTCGTTTGTTCTGGAACCATATCTTTATCTGGGCTTCGTTTAGGCCCAGCTCGTTGGCCAGTTCCTGGCGTCTGCGCTCCGTTAGGTATCGGTTCTCGTTGAACTCCTTCTTCAGCCGAGACAGCTGTTCACCGCTAAACGCGGTCCTGGGTCGCTTCTCCTCCGGACACTTGTCCTTCCGCTTCATCCTTCGTGAACGAGGTCCTGAAAATATTCCGGAAAACGTCCGATTATTATATGACGAAACGAGCACAAACCATATATTACAGGCAAACACTTTTGATGGTAGACCCAACTACCGGTGAGTGGGTGACAGGTGCCTACCTTTTTAAAAAAACGGTTATATATGTCGACTTGTTAAATTATTATTAGTGTCTTTATTCGCGTTATAATATATAGGTAGGTGATAAAAATAATCAAAATTCTAAAACTACTACAAACATTCCTCAAAGTATACTGTCTCAAAATGTGTGCGAGAAGAGAAACAACAGTAAATTGAAATATGAAAATTAAAAATTATTTTTACACGCACGGTGATTTTATTTCGATATAGTTGAATAGCTTTAGATTATTTTCGACCTCATACTCATATCCCGTCATTGTATTGCTTTGCTTTTGTACGTATATCGTTTTGATTATTTTGTACAATATACTTTATTAACATACACTACATTTGTACCTTACGCCACATCAAATCATTGAAAACAACTTGAACACCGACAAACTCCGAATTAATTTTTCAAATAACGGTATTCAATCAAAATCTACCCGAATAAACCGTCGTCAATCGCAGAATGATCGTCCAGACTACGAAACCCGTTCGGTATTTGATTCTCGGCGCGCCGAGGTATTTACGATAGTAATGCGTATATATTATCATGTCGTACACAAACACAAACGCGTTATATTAATTATCGCATAATACGTTGTCCCTCGACCACGATTGTTCGCAGGTTTTTGGCCCGCCACCAAACACGACGGCGACGGACAGACGATTGTGAGACGAAAAATGTATTATTATCATATTATATACTTGATACGCGCGATGCACACCATCGATACCGCGATACTAAATTAATATCATATTATATTTCATACGCGTGCTGGCGTGTATAATATTACATTATTATGAACACGGTGGAAAACTGCGGCGATCTCTGCCTTTCAGTATGCCCAAGTACAATAATAATATTATACAATATATTATACGGCTGAACCGCCTATAGCGATGTGTACAACGTACAGAGTTCCCACGTCAATTATTATCATCATAATAATATTGTATAATATATAAGCGTTGGGTTAGGTCTGAGTGGTGTGTGTGTGTGTGTGTGTGTGTGTGTGTATGTGTGTGTACACGCGCGTATAGCATAATGTACTTACTCGAGTAATAAATGATATTGTGATAGCCGCACGATCGCAATTAAAAAAAAAAATCTAGCTCGTTTGCAAACATTCACGAGCCGTCGGTGATAATAAATTAATACGTTTTATTAATTATATGTAATATTATATTATTGATACAATAACGGCTTCTAACAGAAATAATAACAACGGCGGTAATGATGATACGATATATATTTTTATTTTATTTTAATATTTATTGGTATTTTTGTGTGAATAACCAACAGTGTTTAGGTAATGTGACCTGAAATCACTCAAATTCCTTAAATAAATGAATTTTGTTCTACATGTTTCATAGCCGCTTGCGAAATATAAACGTAAACACGTTTTATCAAATTCCAAACACTGGTTAAGAAGGTCTTCGTATATGGGCTACGGATAAAGCATACAGTTGAACCTTGATAATCCGGATCCCCGGAAGTCTAGTGAACGTGGTAAATCTGGATGACATATTATTCTATAGTATATAACTTGTCCAAATTCCCGGAATAGTATATTTGACCTACATAAAATACTTTATCTACATCAATTCCATTATTTGGGATTCCCTCTGTCCCTATTTCGCTTAGAATATTTATGTTTTGTGTAAGTATTATATAAAATATGTTTAGATTGTTTAATCAAAATAAATAAATTAAAAAAAAATTAAGAACATTATTAAAAAAAAAAAAACATTTACTCATGATTATTTACTAATAAATGATGGAAAAATGAGTTGCCCTTTTTGGATAACTCGTGTTAAATTTGTTTTATTTGTAATGGCTAATCTTCGAAACTGCTGTACCGATTTCTATTAATGTTAAATCAATAGATTTTGGAGACTTGAAGAATATTTTTGATCTATATCGTTCGTATTTGTCATCAAAGTTAGGTATATCAACATTCTCATGGACTGAAGAATATACTCAAGTTAAATAACGAAAAATACCGAATGTCATATGTTTAATAATTAAATAACTAAGAATATGTTATTATAAGTACCTATATATTGTACAAATATTGAAGCTTTAAAACTGAATATTTTTACTCATGACTATATCCATTCCTCAGTCAAACCATGTACCTATATGTAGGCATTTAAATATTCTGCAATGTTTTTAAACCAAATGTTAAGTTTATACAGTCAGTATAATACATTAAAATAATTTCCTTTCTCAAAATTGGAACTAGGCAACAAATCAGTTAAAGGTGGAGAACGATACAATGCCGTTCGGTTTGGTCTTATTATACAAATTGAAAATTACATTTCACGGAATCGTACAACCCTATACATATATTTATGTTTATTTGGGTTCGAGAATTGGGGTCGAACCCATCCATTCGACCCTTCACCAGCATCCCGCCGCGCACGGATATTCACCTTAAGTTTACGTCCGACTCTCCGTCTATAACGTTAACGAAGTTTCTGCGCCCCACAACAAAACTTCAGACGTGTATACACTTGGTGTTTCCAAATAACAAATATAGGATGACGAATATAGGTGGGCGTATATTATATTCATGAGCTGTAATGAGGGTGTCTCCACGCAACAGCTATTGCATGGAGTTGGTTGAAACGTCAACTCGAATGCCGCTGTTAATATAATATCTACCACAGTGAAACGTTTGTAAACTTTGCGTTGTGCCTACCGAATAGTAGAGATACTCGGCAGACTAATCCAAGTAAACACAACCGCGCCAAAAGACTGGGTAAAATATACTTGACTAACTCGAGGCGAGATAGTAACGATCGCGGAGAGGCGTGTAGCACCTAAATGCAGTTTGCGCGCTCGACTATATGCTGCCCATTAGCATTACATCTACTTTAGTAATAAAATTGACACGATAATACGTTTTGATATAGTAATACGAGTATTAATAATGTTTTATATGTTGTGTCTAACTATTATATTACTTAAATTTTAGTTTATTTCTATACTTTTTAATATTTAAAATCATCATATTTATAGCTCTTTTCTCTCTTTTTAATTTTGTTCGCTACTTTTTCTCCATATACCTATTATATTATGTATTACTGTAATTATTGAACTATAGTAATTATTTTACTATAACTATTATATGTTTATTAAATATAATATAATTCATATCTCAATAACGTAATAGGTAGGCTTAAGTATTTTAAGATCGTTCCTTAATAACAAAACAAAAAACAATAAGAAAAGATAATCTTTTGAAAAAAAAATTAGTTAGTTCTAAATTTATCGTCGATGCCTTTACTTAATAGAGCATACACGATATATTTCAAACAAAGAACAAATTATAAAATAAATAAATATACATAGTTACAATGGTAAATAACAATGGACAATGGTTATTTTTTGTATAATTATTTTATTACGATGTCATGCAATTTATTTGTTTTTTATTATTATATTAAATTTGTTGTTATATAACATGCTATGAATGGCAGAATTTAGAAGACAGAGATTCCTGCGACCATCGAAGTCGCTTTATAGTCTTTATACCGTAGCGAATAATAACAATAATTATTAAACCGATCTAATATATACATAAATCGACTATTATAGTGACTACCGCCCGACGTCAATTTGCATTGATATCCAAACACCGTAAAAATATTTAACTGCGTAGGTATTCTATACACGACTGATCTTGTGTAAAGCACGCATCTTATGAATAAATAAAATGTACAATTGGTCACGTTTTGGACTTATCGTAATTGGGGATGTACTTACTCAGTAATCAGTCCTATAGCCAACAAACAGTCGTAACCAATTTTTAAAAATGCGTACCTCGGACAACGACATTAGTTTTGTAAGCTTAACTCCGCAGATATTACATATAATCATGATAATATAATGCTACAAATAAACAGAACAAGATAGAAAACCTTAAATTCGTGTTCACAACTACGTTTGCCTAATCGAAATTCAAACACAATAAAAACTATATTACTGCGGTTCTTATTAAAAAAGAATAAAAGAAAACACTTTGTGGCCTAACAGGAGATAATTAACACAAAAAAAAAAAAAAATGAAAATTATTTGTTACTGTTAATTTACTTCAAGGCAGTATCCTTAACATTATATACTATAGGTATAGTCATTATCTTTGTGCGTGCCTGTGCACTTTTGGAAATCAAAATATATGATACCTGTAATCATTATTAGGTAATCAAACACAATTTCTTGTGTCTTTATTCTTCATTCGGCAAGTATATTTTTGGGCGCCAAGCCGGAAGCCCTCCTAACTCACCACTCCCCACATCACCAATATACAATGTCCTCATAAGGATAACCTCATTATATTAGTAACGCGAGTTGTACAGCACTGTCTAAATATAGGAATGGCGGAATCCGGCTCATAGTACCTTCGAGTATAATATTATATACCTGACGTCCTGACCTAACCACCGTTGGCCGGGAATTTTTCGATTCGGGTCGGCAATCGTAAGACACGTATAACAATACGTATATACCAAACGTAATTACGACGACAACCAACGATAACGTCATGTATTATGATATTTATTATACGAACCGCCACCAAAGTCGTTTCTACGGGGATGATGATACTTTATATATATATATATAAAGTGTTACACGCAGTTACATCGTTATAACAATATGTAGGCCTACGCGATGATAATATTATAACCTGTGTTTCACCTGTGCTCCGCCGCCGAGTGGGCGGAGCCGTCGGACGAACCCCCTCGGCAACCCATACTACGAGCCTGTTGCACCGTCGATTATTATTTGGAAACCATCGTGAAAAACCTCCATACCTATCCATTATATAGACATATGTAACCTACAGCACCTCATCATATAGTCTTTTTA